TTCGGTAGTTTCCATTCGTATGTCATACGAATGGAAACTACCAAATCAATAGACCACCCCAGAGAGAAGTGTGTACCTTATTAAGGCTTTCACATTTCACTAACCACAGTTAATCTGTGTTTTATTGCTATATCTGGGTTGCCACCGTTTGGTAAGCGAACACGTGGCGGCGGCCATCTTACGCACAAACTCTCAGCGGTGTTTGGTCGTCGAGTGTGTGGAACTCAAATCGGACACTCGATTACCCGAACACCGCTGAGACCTCCAGAGTTCCATAACTCCCGAACGGAGGGGCCAATTAGCCCCTCGTTCGGTGAATTCAACCTACCGAACAAGGGGATTCATGCGAAGGCATTATTAGCAATAGATGGCAAAGATTTGTGAATGTTTTACCTCCCGAACGTAGACCGACCGCAGGGCCAAAACACATGGAACCCTTTTCGGCTACCACCTCGTGTGCGGTCGGTCAAATAGTTTATTCCCCATAACTCCCGAACCCCTGGTCTGATCTGGGTGAATTTTGAGTATGTTGGTCACCCAGATCAGGGCTACCAGGGGAGGCCACTTAGATCCTTGTACCCCACCGTTTTGGGGTACATCCAGAAAAAAGGGAAAACTGTAACCGAAATAAGTGGATTAAGTGTCACACTGAGGGGAGGTGATGTATGGGAGGAAACTACTGTACCATTGGTTACTGTCCTAATTATTGTAAATCCCTCCCTTGCATGGGAGAAACCTTTATAAGCAAATGCTGTGATTAAAAGTTCAGTTCTGCTCCTGATGCTGTGTGTCGTCCAGTCATTGGGATTGAGGTTGGGATATTGTTGGAGTATTTTGCCTGCTGGAAATATTACCCTGTGGATTTATAATACTTTTTCCTGAGCCTTCCTGGGATCTAAAGTGGAGATAGGCTGTGTAAGACCAGCTCTCCGCTACAAGGTCCCCCCACCTTATTGTTATTTACTTTACTTTAGTAAATTTGTCTGAAAGACCAATTTAGGTCTCTCAGCCTTTTGGTATATAGCTCCCTAATACTGGGGGAATTGGGGAGTTATCTACTAAGCGGCTGCAAGATGCAGCCGCGGCACGAATAGGATCGGAGTTTCATTCATTAGAATGAAATTCCGTTCCGAACAAAGTGCCGAATTGCGTTCTAACACGAATGGACAAACTGTTCTCATTCTTTTAGGACACAATTCGGCAGTTTCGCCGGCATTCTGTCTAAATGACAGGACATTCGGGAAAAATGAAAGGAAGCATCGCGGGAACACTGAGGAAAGGTAAGAATTATGGGAAAATTTCTCTGAGCTCCTCCGCTGGTCAGAGATGGTCGGGCGTAGGAAACCTCCATAAGAGAAATAGACCCTACTTAATTTTATGTTTTAAAGAAAACTAAAGCAGACCGGAAGAAATGAAGAACAGATCCTGACAGAGGGAGAGAAGAGGAATCGATTAAAGAAAGGTACGTTCGGCATGACAGTGCCGCTTTAAAACTGATATTTGTGAATGGTTAAAAATGCCACTTCTTTGATTGTCTTGGGCAGTTATTGTCTCTCTAGCCTCTCCTTTGCTCACATCTACCACTTCTTCCTCTAAACGGTTTGATTGTGATGGATGTGGTGTTTGGACTAGTGCATTGGGATGAGTTCGGATTTCTAAAGAATGATCTTCATTTTTGAATTCCGAATCTAGTGATAGTAATTGGTATCTCTTTTGGTGATTTTGAATAACTGAAATATTCTTTGTGGTCATTAATGTATTGTGATAAATACTTTTTGTTGGGTCCTGATATGTTGTGGTATTTAGGTGGCTATGGGGTTTTGTGTTAAGTTCGATGTGAATTGTTGCAGTTATTGTATGGAGGTTGGTGAAGTTGTGAGATTTTTGTAGGGGGCCGTGATGGGGATTGATTTTGTTCTCTATATGCCGGTATGTGTACAAATAGATAGTAGCAGACTGAGCTAAATGACAGTGATAATAGAAGCGATCTGTAACAGTTTATCACTAGAATGGTAGAACATGGTATGATAACATCATGTTTGCTATTCTGTAAGCGGGAGAGTGAATCTGACTATCTCTGAAAGTAATAGCACTGCAGGAATTTGCTAGTCTGTTCCTTCAGGGGTACCTGTAAGCGAGAGAGTGAATCTGACTATCTCTGAAAGTAATAGCACTGCAGGAATTTGCTAGTCTGTTCCTTCAGGGGTACCTGTAAGCGAGAGAGTGAATCTGACTATCTCTGAAAGTAATAGCACTGCAGGGATTTGCTAGTCTGTGCCTTCAGGGGCACCTGTAAGCGAGAGAGTGAATCTGACTATCTCTGAAAGTAATAGCACTGCAGGGATTTGCTAGTCTGTGCCTTCAGGGGCACCTGCAAGCGAGAGAGTGAATCTGACTATCTCTGAAAGTAATAGCACTGCAAGGATTTGCTAGTCTGTGCCTTCAAGGGCACCTGTAAGCGAGAGAGTGAATCTGACTATCTCTGAAAGTAATAGCACTGCAGGGATTTGCGATTCTGTGCCTTCAGGGGCACTTGTAAGCGAGAGAGTGAATCTGACTATCTCTGAAAGTAATAGCACTGCAGGGATTTGCTAGTCTGTTCCTTCAGGGGCACCTGTAAGCGAGAGAGTGAATCTGACTATCTCTGAAAGTAATAGCACTGCAGGGATTTGCTAGTCTGTGCCTTCAGGGGCACCTGTAAGCGAGAGAGAGAGTCTAACTATCTCCATGAAGCAGAACGCCAGACGGTCTGTCCACCCAAGCCAGACCGCTGCTGTCGAATTCAGTGCACTGAAGTCGGTTAGAATACACGTGCTGCTTGCACGCCAGTGATCACGAACTGTCAGTCAAGGGTCTGCAGTCTAAGTACATGTGAATGGTGAAGCCCCAATGGGCAGGTTAGAGCAAGTTATGATGGCATATTGGATAATGACACTGTGGAGAAGTACCTGGATAATAGTATAGTGAGGAGAAGGATTGGGAATAATGTTTCGACAGGTAGAATTGTTTGTGAATAATAGAAGTAGGAGGTATCACAGTCCATGTAGAGGCAGAGTTTATATAAAATATTTTTTATTTATATGGTGCCCACGTCTTTTGCACTGGTGAACAAAGTGTTCAAGCATTTGTAAGAAAATGAGTTTGTAAAGTAGGAACAACTAATGCTCTGCTTAAACCAACATTTCATCCAAAGGATGTGGGTTTTATACGAAAGGTAAAGATCATTGTATGCAGCAGAATAAAAGTGACATGATCTAACGGTATTTATAAATATGACAATGGAAAACACAGAAAGTAGGAAAGGGAGATACCACCAGCAGTGCTGTATCTTGCCTTGGGCAGCACTATCTACGCCCCAGCTGTTACCTGCTGTTATGAGTGGCCCTAGAGCTGGCCGGCTGGTTACCTGATAGACAAACCAAAGGCTGGTGAGTGCATCAGAGGCGGTGAGAGAGCTGTGATCTTCCGAACTCTGCTCCCTCACGCCTCGTAGTCCATCTACTGATGCTGTGGTAACATCTTATTTCAAAGGTAGGGAGGCTGGGTGGACAAATTAAAATAATAATGAGTGTGTGTGAAAATGTGTCTGTGAATGTGTGTCCTGTGAATGTCTGTCTGTCAGTGAATGTGTGTGTCTGTCAGTGAATGTCTGTGTCTGTCAGTGAATGTCTGTGTCTGTCAGTGAATGTCTGTGTCTGTCAGTTATGTGTGTGTCTGTCATTAAAAGTGTGTGTGTCTGTCAGTGAAAGTGTGTGTCCTTCGGTGAAAGTGTGTCTGTCAGTGAATGTGTATGTGTCTGTCAGTGAATGTGTGTCTGTCTGTGAGTGTGAATGTGTGTGAGTGTTTGCAAAAAAGCAAGATTAAAATCCACACACTAAAAAAGGAGGCAATACTTTCTGCGGGGTGCTCCAGAAAAGGAGGGCCAATCCCTGAAGACATCAAATGGAAGAAAATATATATCCAGGCACACCTGAGGTTTCTTCCAAAAGGCAGTCTTACTATTTGAAACAAGGAAGTTGAGACAGCGTTTCTGCTCCTCTCTGTTTCAAATCGAAAGACTGCCTTTTACAAGAAACCTCAGGCATGCCTGGATATTTATTTTCTTCTATTTTGAGTGTCTGTCAAATCAGTGAGAGTCTGTGTCTGTCAGTGACATATGTGTTTGTTATTGAGTATGTGTGTGTGACTGTCAGCATGTCTTCCAGTGAGCGTGTCAGTAAACGTGAGTGTGGGTGAGGGAGAGGTATTAGCAGTAAAAAGAGGGAAGTGCTCATGCCATTGTACAGAACCTCACTTGGAGTATTGTACGCAGTACTGGAGATCGTATCTTCAGAAGGATATTGATACCTTAGAGAAGGTTCAGAGAAGGGCTACTAAACTGGTTCATGGATTGCGGGATAAAACTTACCAGGAAAGGTTAAAGGATCTTAACATGTATAGCTTTGAGGAAAGACGAGACAGGGGGGATATGATAGAAACATTTTAAATATATAAAGGGAATCAACACAGTAAAAGAGGAGACTATATTTAAAAGAAGAAAAACTACCACAAAATTAGAGGGACAAAGGTTTAAAAATAATATCCGGAAGTATTACTTTACTGAGAGGGTAGTGGATGCATGGAATAGCCTTCCAGCTGAAGTGGTAGAGGTTAACACAGTGAAGGAATTTAGGCATGTGTGGGATAGGCATAAGGCTAATTGGGCAGACTAGATGGGCCGAATGGTTCTTATCTGCTGCCACAGTCAGTGTGTCAAATCAGTGAGAGTGTGTTCATGCCAGTGTGGGTTTGTCAGTGAACATGTTTGTTGGTTTAACAGTGTGTGAAACAATGATTGTGAGTTAGTGTGTTATTTGTATCGTTGTATGTGTCATTGTGTTACAGTGCACCCCAAACCCTGTAGACCACAAGGCCTGATGGCCCTTTAAGAGACCTGGCTGGAGCATCAAAGTCAGGTTCTCTACCTTGCTGTCCACCAGGGGGCTTCGGTATTTATATGTCTGCTTCCTGACTCTTTGCCTGGATGGAGCAGTACTGATCCACCTTTTCCAATTAGGGTCAGCTGCATCTAATTAGCAGGCTGTAAAAGCCAGCCCTGCCTGAGACCTGGTATCTGGTCGTTTTGTCTGTTTGGTGTTTCCTGCTGGATCTCAGCTTCGCTATTGACTGATTTCCTGGACTCTGACCTCTGCCTGCTTTACCGACTTTGTTACTCCGCTGCCAGCCCTGACTTCTGCTTCTCATCTGACCCTGCCTTTGGATTACCCCTTCATCTGTACTGCGCTTTTGGTTTTTGCCTTCTCCTTGTGCCATCTCCTTCACCTGGGCTCCAACTCCTGGTAAACAGTGACATATTGTATGTCATGTCATTGTAAGTGTATCAGCAAATGTATGTTGTCTGTCAGTGAAAGTGTGTGTGTGCCAATAAGTGCATGTATGGGTCAATGAGAGTGTGTGCTTAAAATAATGAAGTACGAAGAGGTAGAGTTTTAAGAGGAAAAGGTGGAACCTAAAGAAGAAGGGTGGGTCTTAATCAGGTAGAGTTGTGGCCTTGACAGGAAGGGGTAGGGTGGCTGCCCAAGTTTAGTCATGCCTACGGCAGCACAAAACCAAAATACACTACTGGATACCGCAATGGTTAGTTGGTAGGCTTCCCTAGTGTAATAGAGTTTTTGGAGTGAGACACAGGTCTGTCAATTAAATAAACAGCCAACACAGAACAATAAAAATACATGAACAGAGGCCTGAACAGCTGATCGGGTCTCTCCATATTAAAAAACAAAAATAAATCTGTGCAGTCCAGTCCGCCTCCTCCCATTGCAAAATTAACAGAAGCCTGCCCCCCATTGAAAAAATGGCAGAAGCCTAGCTAGTAATATAACAGTGACCCATGAGATGCCCAGGAAAAAAAAGCCACCCATAAGCCCTTGCATAATAATGTCATCCCTCTTCAATGCTTAAAAATATAAAAAACAGACACATTGTGTCTGTGTCATAGGTACTTATTGTAAGGACTAGGGAAGGAGTAAGGTGTGTGAGGAGCAGGAGGTGTGGAAGATAAGCTTCGTAGCAGCATTTATTAGGGACTGAAGGGAGTAAATTATTATGAGTGAGTAAGGTGTGTGAGGAGCAGGAGGTGTGGAAGATAAGCTTCGTAGCAGCATTTATTAGGGACTGAAGGGAGTAAATTATTATGAGTGAGACAGGAGTAAGGTGTGTGAGGAGCAGGAGGTGTGGAAGATAAGCTTCGTAGCAGCATTTATTAGGGACTGAAGGGAGTAAATTATTATGAGTGAGTAAGGTGTGTGAGGAGCAGGAGGTGTGGAAGATAAGCTTCGTAGCAGCATTTATTAGGGACTGAAGGGAGTAAATTATTATGAGTGAGACAAAACTTGCCCAGATGCGTTCATGGGTTCAGAAATTTTATGGAAACCATAGTCACAGGGTAGGAGGCTGGCAAACAGGCCCCTCCATGAACCAGTGGCGAGGTTACGTTTGCCACAGTTACTGGTTGATTTATGTCCATGGTGTATGGAACTTGTACAGAGAGTGATGAAGACAGTTATTGGGGAAGTGGAATGCGTTTGTTATGAAGTTGAGTGGTCGGCTTCCCTGAACAGGAATTTCTTTGTTGCGGGCCTAAAGGACAGCTCTACAAGGCAATTAAGAGAGCAGGAGATAAGATATTATAAATTAAACTGAATTTGCAATAAAGGAAGTTTAAACCTCAAATCTCTCTTTACAGGAAATGTTTAGGAAGGCTGTGTTTGTCACATGCAGGAAGGTGTGATTAGGGCTGTGTAAACAAAGGGATTTAACTCCTTAATGGCAGAAAATTAAGCAGCGAGACTAGAAGGGCATGATCTATACATCAAAACTGCTTCATTAAGCTAAAATATTTTGGTGTATATAGTGTTCCTTTAACGTGAAAGTGACATGATTTTGTGATTAGATTTTATGTAAGGGGTAATTGAAAGGCCAGAGTCATAGAGCACACCAAGGTAATGTGTAGAGGTTATGATCGCTCCATTGATCTGAAGGGACAGATAGATAGATAGATGTAGCTTTAGAGGGAGGAAAGACAAGGAGTTCTGTCTTGGAGAGTTGAGTTTTTGGAGTCATGAAACCATCCAGTCAGAGACATTGTTCAGCAGACAGTGAGAGAAATCAGATGAGGAGCCGTCGATCTGGGTATCATCATCAGATGCTATTGAAGGCCATAGGATGATATCAGGTCACCAACAGGGAGGATAAATTGAGAAGAGGTCACAGTACAGGGCCTTTAGGAACTTCAAACGAGAGGTAGAGGAGGCAGAACCAGAGAATTAGACACCGAAGGAGTGGCGGAGAGATAGGAAGAGAAGCCGGAAAGAGCATTATCTCAGAGGCCAAGGTTGCAAAGGGTGAGTAGGAGAAACTAGTGGTCAACAGTGTTGAAAAAGGCACAGTCAGATTAGACCCAGGGCAGTCAGATCACATAGAGGTCAGACAGATTTAACCCAGGGCAGACAGAAAGAACAGGTAGACAGTCAGATTAGAGCCAGGGCAGACAGACAGATCACATAGAGGACAGACAGATCATACACGGGACAGAAAGACAGATTAGACCCAGGAAAGACAGACAGATCACATAGAGGGCAGACAGATTAGACCCAGGGCAGACAGTTTATATTTAGGACAGACAGACAGAAAGAACAGTCAGATCCAGGACAGACAGATTAGAACCAGGGCAGACAGGCAGATCACATACAGTACAGACAGCTTATATGTAGGACAGATAGACAGAAAGAACAGGCAGACAGACAGATCACATACAGGACAAACAGCTTATATCAAGGACAAACAGAAAGAACAGACAGATCATATACAGGACAGACAGTCAGATTAGACCCAGGACAGACAGACACAGGCATCTGTGAGACAGGGACAGCTGTGTGATCAGGCCATGTTCTCAGGCAGGGGAGAGACAGACAGACAGAGACAGCTGGGAGAGTGAGCCCACACTATTCCTGAATTAATAGTTAAAGGAATGCAGCAGCTGGAACTCTCAGGATGGTGAGCCCTCAGCATAACCCTGGGGGACCCCCAGTCGCAACCCGGTGGGGGGAATGGGGAGAGAAAGAAAGAGCTGGATCACAAGAGACAGTCCCAATGGTAGAAGGAGAATCAAAGCGAGGACAGGTAGAAGCATAGAAAACGAGTGAAAATCACAGAGAAAGAGGAGGAAAATCAAATGAAAAATGGAACTGCAGAAAAAGAGGGAGAGATACTGAGATAGGGGCAATTGCCGGGAGACAGACAGACTACTAGAGAGAGGGAGACAGACATTCTACTAGAGAGACAGACTACTCGAGATACAAACTACTAGAGAGAGACACACAGGATATGAGAGAGAGAGAATACTAGCGAGACACACATACTACTAGAGAGAGGGAGACAGACATTCTACTAGAGAGACAGACTACTCGAGATACAGACTACTTGAGAGAGACAGACTACTAGACAGATATTGACTACTTGAGATACAGACTACTAGAGAGAGATACACAGGATATGAGAGAGAGAGAATACTAGCGAGACACACATACTACTAGGGAGAGAGACAGAATACAAGAAAAACTGACTACTAGAGAGAAAGACAGACAGACTACTGGAGAGAGACTACTAAAGGGAGAGAGACAGACTGACTACTAGAGAGAGATATACAGACTTCGAGAGGGACATAATACTAGAGAGACAGAATACGAGAGAGAGACAGACAGACCATACTAGAGAGAGACTGACTACTAGACAGAGACAGAATACTAGAAAGGAAATATGTGTAAGATAGAGACAAAAAAGTCAAGAGAGCTTGTGAGAATGCCAGATGAACAAAGCAGGCAGAAACAAAAATGAGATTACAGAGATTGAGATCACAGATACACAGAATGAGATTATAGACACTTAGAATGACATCACTGAGACAGAATGAGATTGCAATGATAGGAAATGACATCAGAGAGACATGGATTTAGATTAGAGACTGAATTAGATAGCAGAGAATGAGATTACAGAGACAGTATGACATCACAGAGACAGAATGAGATTGCAGTGAGAGGAAATGACATCACAGAGACAGGGAATTAAATTACAGAGACTGAATTAGATAGCACAGTATGACATCACAGAGACAGTATGACATCGCATAAACAGAATAAGATTACAGAGATGGGGAATGACATCGCACGGACAGGGAATGAGATTGCAGTGAGAAAATGACATCACATAGACAGAATGAGATCACACAGAATGACATCACAAATAATGAGATCACAGAGACAGGGAATTAGATCGCCAGGCAGAGTGACAAACTAAAAAAGACAACTTAAAAACAAAAGGAGGGCAGGGTCATAGATTGACCGTCATAAAGACAGACACTGATGGTCATACAGTGAGAGATACAATGTGCTAGAGACAGACACAGAGCGATTGAATGCTGTAGAGTCTCTGGAAGGTTGAAATATTAAAGGAACATTATGGTGTTAGGAATATAAAACTGTAAAGCTCTCTGCCCTCGGTGATGTAAAGGGTCTGGGTGCCTATAGTGTCCCTCTGCCCTCCGCATTCCTCCCTCGGTGATGTAAAGGGTCTGGGTGCCTATAGTGTCCCTCTGCCCTCTGCATTCCTCCCTCGGTGATGTAAAGGGTCTGGGTGCCTATAGTGTCCCTCTGCCCTCCGCATTCCTCCCTCGGTGATGTAAAGGGTCTGGGTGCCTATAGTGTCCCTCTGCCCTCCGCATTCCTCCCTCGGTGATGTAAAGGGTCTGGGTGCCTATAGTGTCCCTCTGCCCTCCGCATTCCTCCCTCGGTGATGTAAAGGGTCTGGGTGCCTATAGTGTCCCTCTGCCCTCCGCATTCCTCCCTCGGTGATGTAAAGGGTCTGGGTGCCTATAGTGTCCCTCTGCCCGCCGCATTCCGCCCTCGGTGATGTAAAGGGTCTGGATGCCTATAGTGTACTTTTAAGCAGTTCCCAACTTTTTAAGACCGAGGTTTCAGTGAGAGAAGTTTCCCAGGGATTTTCTGTAGCGATTTATAAACATTTTGTTGCAGTCTTACCTGAGAGGTAAGCCTACTGCTACTATTTTGAATTGTTTCCAGATTGAAGTCTCGATTGTAATGCTGTGAGGTAAAAGTGGGGTAACCGCTTCTTGATTCAATGAGAAATCTGACTGCCATTCTGGGTCAAGAAGAATTTTTTCCCCCTTATTAAAAAGAACATATTTCAAAGACTATATTCGGAAATGTAAAGCCTAGATATCAATGTGTCCGTGTTAAACTTTAAGGTGGCTTGGGGCATACCAGACTGCCACGACAGACTGCCAATGTTAGATTCCACATCCCAAAGACACAGTGAGATTATGCATCCCACAGACACAGTGAGATTACAAATTTAAGAGACAGTGAGAGTATGCATCCCAGAGACAGACAGTTAGATTACACATCCCAGAGACAGACACAGATACAGAGAGAGTGAACATTCTAAAAATAGACAAAGTGAGACTAAATATTTTAGAAAGAGATACGGAGAGAGATTTAGCACTATAGAGACAGACACAAGAGAGTGCGCATTGTAGAAACATGCAGCAAAATTGACAATTCTAATAGCAGATACAGAGAGTGCACATTGTAGAGACAGACACAAAGATTTAACATTCTAAAGATAGACACAGGAAATCTAAAGACACAGAGACAGGTAGACAGACAAAGTATGTAAACGAAACAGGGGACTTGAAGAGAAAGACAGTCCCTGATATATAGAGAAGACCAGGGAAAGTGGGTGAAAGGCAGAGAGACAGCTGGAGTGAAGAGGGAGATAAGACAAGGATGGAAGGGGAGGGTGGAAAGTTAGCTTAGGGGAGGAGGGGGGTGGGGGGTGTGACAGGATCCCTAACATAGAAAGAGACAAGGAGACAAACCGAAAAAGAGTGGAGATCTAGCAAGCTAGGGGGATGGAAAGCTACAGGATGGGGTACAGGCTGTCCTCATGTTAGGGGGTACACACAGCACTGAACAAGGGATACAGACAGCTTGTATCACTACTGAAAGAGGGCTGCAGACTGTATTTGAGGAGGGTTACATTGAAAATTCAGGGAGGGGTAC